CCCGCCCGCCCACCTGCCCGTCTGCACTTGTTCCCAGCCGGGTGTTGGGTCAAGTCCGACCAGCCCAGCCTTCCTCTCCAGTCCCTTTCCTGCCCCGAGGCGGGAGCCCCTCCGTGGGGCGCACACAGTGCCCCCCTCCAGCTCGGGAGACGGGCCCCAAGAGCTGATAGGCCAAAAGCAAAGCGGGGCTCACCGCCTCCACCATTGCCCCTTGGGGAGGGGCCGGCCACTTTTACTTTTCTCTCCCTGGCACAGCCCCAGCGGGTTGGGGAGCCAGCTTAGGCGCTGGAGAAGGACCCGGGGTCCTGGCCGGTTGGGGGAGAGTCCGGAGACTCCCCATTCTGCCCTGCTGTCGGTCAGGCCCCACTTTGAGGCTCTGTTGGTTTTGGGGAGCCCTGTGTTGGCTTCCACCGGTTGTGGGTGCTCGTTGGGTGAGAACCCACATCTGCCACAAGCCCTCCGCAGGTGTCTGTCGGTGGCAGTTGTAGCCTCCCGTTTGTGGGCCCGGCTCAGCCGGGACTGACCGCCCCGTGTCGGGGGAAGAAAGACACCGGCCTTCTGGTCTCCCCCCAGGGCACACGGCTTCTGGCCTGTGGACAGAGGGAAGCCAGAGGCCTGTGGGCGAGCAGGGTCTTCCCGGCGGCGGCGAGCTGCCAGGCGGGGCAGGAGGGAACCGTCTCACGGGGCGGGTCTGGCGCCACGTGGCAGGATGCCGTGGCGGGTGCCGTGGCGGGATGACGGCAGGTGAGGCGGGGTGGGAATGCCATTGAGGGTGTGACCCGGGGGGGCCATGTTCTCGGCTATTGCCTCCCAAATGTGACCTGAGGGGGCGCCCCAAGGTCTGGAGGGGAGCTGTCCCTGGGACAGCCGGCCACGGCCAAGCCGCCACGTGACTTCGGTTCAACAGAAGAGAAGCAGCAAGCGCTCCTGCTGCCCTGGCCGGGCCAGGCCACTCTTGCCACACTTGAAAACCCACCCATGCCCCGGAGTTGCCCTCGTCGCTGACGGGGAGACCGAGGCACAGAGCAGCAGAGGGTGAGAGCGCGCGGCAGAGGTCCCCTTTTCTTCTGGGGACCCAGCGGCCCAGCCTGGACAGACCCTGCGGCTGCTCTTCCGCAGGATGCCCACGGTCACCACCGGGCTGTTGAGGGGCACCTTCGCTCCGGCCCCTGTATCGCCCAGGGAGCCAGCCAGGGAGGGCTGGTCGCTTTCCCGGTCAGCAGGCCAGGGCAAGGGGCCAGGCCTGCTCCGGCTGCCCCCAGGCCCTGAGGCCTGCCAGTGGAAAAACAAGTGAAAAGTAAAAAGACAAGAAAAAGTAACCCTGGCCGCAGGCGGGCATCGCTTCAGCCTGACGCGGGCCTGCGCTGGCCCCAGGCTGGGCCTTCCCGGGAGCCTTGGAGGCCCTCGGGGTCTGGCTCTGGGGCCCGCCGGGCTCTGCTCGGCACTGCCAGCACCCAGGTCTGGCCACTGCCGCGTTCTGGGTCCCGAAGCAGGGCCGGGCCGACACGCCGCGCCCCTCTCGGGGCCCCGATTCCGCCCAGCAGCGGCCGTCTCGGCAGGAGGCAGGAAGGGTGTGCGGCCAGGGACGCGCTGACCGAACAGCTGGCCCCGGGCCCCCACCCCTGCACGAGGCCACGATGGGCTGACCTCGCTTGCTGGCCAGTCTGAGCGTGGTGCCCATCTGTAGAGTCTGGACAATGCTTTGCCCACTCACGGAGCCCCGGGAGAACCAAATAATGCCGCTTGGGGGCGCCTCAGCCTCCTGCCCGGGCTGCTGGACCCCTGAGGCTGAAAGGCCGGCTCCTGGGGACCCCGCCCAGGCCGAGGGCCAGCTCTCTCCCGTGACCCTGGACACAGCAGGGCCAGGGTGTCCACTTGCGGCTGGAACCGGTGACCGCCCGTCGGAAAGAACTGGCTTGGTGGGTCGGGAGTCCAGAGACTCCTGCGCTGCCCTCTCCCTTCCCCGCCACAAACAGAAAGCAAGCCGAGGGGCCCGTCACGGCCGAGAGAGCAGCGCCCCGCGCCAGGGGCCTGAGCCGCGGGGTGGGGGGCTCCCCGAAAGCCCAGGGCCTCCCCTCAGGGTGCTCTCTGAGGCGGCGCCGCAAGCTCCCGGCTCAGCGCTTTTGCCTCTG